AATGCACGCGACTGGCGGCTAACCGTTCTACGGAGAGATGCTGAACCATACTGGATAAACCCGATGCAATTAAGTCGATTATCTGGACTCTAAAATTAGTCTTTCAAATCGAGAGGATGCACGGACGAACAACTAGGACTTTTCACCAAAGCTTACAGCCGACGAATTAGTAGTAGTAGTACATTTGACCCCACTAGGACATCACACAAGCGATAAACACCCGATGACACAAAGTGCCACTATGCGGATGAGGATCATCGCGGAGAGGTCATGGAAACCGCGTTCAGCCATTAAACCATGTTTTTGGCCGGGGCTATATTGCGGCTCCTGACAAGAGCCAGGGTGGGGCTTCAAAATAACGAAAAATTGCACCCCACAAGGGGATGAGTAATGCTGTGATGTCGATTCCTCCTAATAAAACATTCAACTTTATTTATTTACTGAAAAAGTATTGATGGGACATCTGGAAGAGTACTAATGCTGCCGAGGTGAAAATTAGGGAAGTCAACGGCGTGTTGAACCCGCTTCCGTTGGTCGTGGTTCTTGGTGCTATTGTTGTATGACCCGTTGTGCTGGAACCGGCAGTGGTGGATCCTGTGTTATGTGTTGTTGAAGCCGTTGATGTGGATGTATCTTGTTCGATGATTTGTGCAATGATCACAGCCAAGCAGAAAAAAATCAACACGAGAACCAGCAAGCACAGCAGCAGCAGCCGAAAAAAACATTCAACCATTGTTCATATCGTGGGTTTCTGTCAGCCTTATCTTGATTGTTGAAATAAATTTATCTTGGTTATACAATATTATGGCCCCCGACAACTGCCGGTGTAGGACTTTTAAATACCAAACTATTAAGTAAAGCATCATTTGCTCTTTTCATTGTTTCTCTCTCTTCAATTTCTGGGTACATTGTACCCACTCAAATAAAATTTTAACCAATAGTCTGTAAACCAGATCTACGGATGTGCACAATTACAGAAATGCTGTAAAAATTATTTAAAAGCAGAATTTTTACACTTAAATAAGTTTTTTTATTATAAATATTAATTAATAATTTGGCTATTTTTAAATGTGTAAATAAAAAATAAAAAAAGTTTTGCATTTTATAAAAGATTCTAGTATCTTTTATCAAAAACTATGGTTTGAAAATTATAAACCTTTTTGAATATTTAGTTAAACTGTGTATATATGTAATATAATACAATTGTTGATTTATTTCCCCTAGATTAATAACGCCCCTTTAAAACACATTTGCTAAAAACTAGTTGGCTACTCAAAGATGGTATCAAGCACAGAGCACCTTTTCCGTAGCTATATGGAAATGAGCAGACAGATAGACTGGCCGGTTCTGCGCCATTTGGTGGTGAATTGATGTATGACAAGCTAGACGTTGTAAAGGGAGTGAGTGAACGGTACGGTAGCGCAAATAGATCATTACGGTCTGAGGAGAATGGCGCTGCGAGGAGATACCAGGGGATATGACCGACGCTCAACACTCAAGAGAAGGGCGAGACGGATATACATCACACAGTTACTGGTGCCATCGGAATTGCAACTCTTCGTTTGCAGCTGAAGATGGGAACGGGGCCCTTATGAGGGTGTCCCGGGTGATATGATGTCGATTCTTAAATCATCACTCAACCAGTGTTTGAAGTGAGGTTTTTGTGGCGAAGTGGTCGTTTGCCTCGCACTGTGAAGGTCGTGAGATTTTTCACGGCTGCATCGTTTAGTTCACGAGTGCATTTTTTTTACAGAGAAACCTGGAAATCGTCGCCGGAGCTACGGAGTTCGTGCTTCGTGTAATGCACGCGACTGACGGCTAGCCGTTTTACGGAGAGATGCTAAACCATACTGGATAAACCCGATGCAATTAAGTCGATTATCTGGACTCTAAAATTAGTCTTTCAAATCGAGAGGATGCACGGACGAACAACTAGGTCTTTCCACCAAAGCTTACAGCCGACGAATTAGTAGTAGTAGTACATTTGACCCCACTAGGACAACACACAAGCGATAAACACCCGATGACACAAAGTGCCACTATGCAGATGAGGATCAACATGGAGAGGTCCTGGAAACCGCGTTCAGCCATTAAACCATGTTTTTGGCCGGGCTATATTGCGGCTCCTGACAAGAGCCAGGGTGGGGCTTCAAAATAACGAAAAATTGCACCCCACAAGGGGATGAGTAAGTACAGAAGGAACACAACCGGCAAAATTAGAAATTGCTTTTAGCTTTACCTCGCATGGCTCGGCATCTCTCCACTAACGCGATAATCCCCAGGGATTTTTAACTTACACCTGCACTACGAACCATCTGATGCTTCCCGCAAACTGGTTATATATAGTTTGTGCTGTCCACTTAAAGTAAAAAAAAAAAAAGTAAAGGACCATTTTCCACGCCATCAGGCGTATAGGGCATATAGGGCTAGACCTATAATTTGTATAGACCAATCGGCACAAGATGGGTGGTGTCCACTTTAAGTAGTAATAGTAATTTAATCAATACCCTGTTCAACCCATCCGCATTTTATTTTGGATAAAGAAGATGAAATTATTTTTGGTTATGCACTATCGCATAGCTTATGTATTAACTATATTAGATTGTATAAGTATAGGTTGACAAATTCAGTATATTTTAAACGTATTTTCAAACAGTTGGCGTACTTTGACTGTTGTCATCAGAGCAAGCTATGGGGAACCATGAAGAACCTGCTACTGACATGCGAGTTAATAGAGGCAACACACCTGATGGTCTGATCTGAGCCACGGCCTACTCTATTTATATACAGAAGGACCTGTCTGAGCATACGAAACCGAACTCAAAGAAAAAGACCACCTCCGAAATCTGCATGAAGCTGTATGGAGACAGTTCTTCGCCGGTTGCTTTCAAATTCTAACATACCGCTGCATTCGAATACGCGAGTATTTTTATATAAGAGTGTCGCACAAAGAATGAACTACATAGCTCCAGCGACAGTCACATCGACATCTTGATTTTGTTTTTCTACGATCTAATTGTCTTTTGTTTCGTTGATGGCAGACACTTAGAGAGCTTAAAATGTGATTTTAAAGTTCCTATTTTTCCACAAATTATACATATTTTAATAACGACTCCTCAGCTATTCTAATTTTTTTTTTTTTTTTGCGAATTTATTGGTCAATTAGAAGTACAGTAGTAAGCTTTACTTTCAGTTGTTAAAAAAAAAAAGCTTTAGCATGTGATGAACAAACTGAAAAAAAAAAAAAAATTTTTCTACCAGTATGAAGACACACACATATGTTGCATGTTCTACATTCGGCAAACCAGACAATCTTCATGTCTGCACACACGATAATTGTGATATTAACCGCATTAGAAACATGCACTTTATATTTTCTTTCTTTTTCATTTCACCAGACTGAGCCACGGCAAAGCGTGGCAGGTACAGCTAGTATAATACTAATACTAATAATTTTTATTATTATTGTTACATAATCAAACACCGCTTGAGCCCCTGAAACCCCCTGCTAGATTATTTATGGGGGGGGGGGGCTGTGTCCTACTATATGTTCTCTCCACTATATGAACAATCTGCAAATCACCGCAGGCAGGATAGTTTTTCTCACTGACTCACTGTCAGCTGTACAGGCCCTTGAGTCCAAACCTACCGACAGCACACTACAAAGTATAACACAGGAACTTGCTATGATGTCAAATGAGGCAGAAATTTACTTGCAGTGGATTCAGTCTCACTGCGGCATCAAAGGCAATGAAAGCGCAGATGCTTTAGACAAGGAAGGCAGTAACAAACTACAGACCTACCAGCCACTATCTTTTCCAGAAGTCAAAACTCTCATTAAGAGAAAATCAGAAACAGATTGGAGAAACAACACTGGTTATGACTACATAAAAGATTTTCTGAGGCACTTGAACAGAACAGACCAAGTCACAGTTTTTCGCTTACGCACTGGACACTGCAGACTCAATAAACACTCATATAAATTAGGTATGAGCCAAACAGCTCTCTGCCAGTGTCTTCGTGCTGAACAGACTCCAGAACATGTCCTGCAAGACTGTCCTCTCCTGGCGGAGCTGCGGAGCGACATATGGCAACACCCAGTAGAACTGACAACTAAGCTTTGGGGAAACCTAAGAGACCTTGAAAAGACATCCCAGTTTATGACCCACAGTGGATTATGCGCATGACCAGAGATCGCTGAAGAAGAAGAAGTTCTCTCCACGGCACCTGATCAAGTTACAGAAGGCACAGTATCATTGTGTGCCATATTCCAAGTTGTCAACAGTCGACGAACAACTTACATCTATGGTCAACATTTAGTTCTTTATCATCGCTTCGTAGCACTGCGTGTCGTTGGGTCACCAGTTACAGTCGACTGTCTGATCAGTGAGAAACTCTAAGGCGAACTTGTTGGGAGAGGCCAATGGTGCTGCATTAGGTGCTGAGTGGTCTCGGGGTATGGCATCCGCCTCGAGTGCTGGAGGTCCCGGGTTGAAACCCCGGTGAAGGCAGTAATTTTTTAACGTGGACTTCTAGCAAACACACAAAGCAGATCTGTACACGCAATACTCACACTTCGGAATAAGACCAACGTCAAGAAGTGGACGAACAACCAGAACTTTTCGCCGGAGTTTACAGCCGGTGGACGCAAAGAAGAAGAACAAAAAGTATGCAGGATGATGATGATAATAATCGCAACCACGACCATGACTCCACGTCTTCTGTTCCAACGTTTTCCCTGTCAGAGCCCCTGACCGGGGTCACCGTTCTAATTAAAGCACACATACACAGGTACTAGATGGGATACCCCAGCACAGCGGTGCCAGATCTCCGGGGTTAAAGGTCAACACGCATGCGTACCAGAACCCAGCCATGTTGTCAACACAGTAATGGCCGCCCCTGTAAATACAGTCTCTCTTGTGTGTCACCTGGATGGCGGCGTCCCTTTCCCCTTTCTCCGGTAGAACTCTGGTGATTCTCTCCCTGCTTCTGAGTTCCTAATGGCATCTTTGAGTTCAGGGCCGTCTAGAGATAACAAGTCAGGCTTTTGGAAGAAGAGCACAACAAGCGTACCCGGAAGGTCTGAGTCTGTGAAAATATTATATATCACTTCATCATCACGAGTGCTGTATTGTTTTGTATTTTCATTTTGACCAAATAAGGAATTCATCAATATATTTAAATTATTAGCATAATAAAACACTTCATTAGGCGTATAAAGTGCTACCTACATATTATATTTTTAAGCAAGTGGCATTTAACTTTTTGGCTCTACTGGCAAATCCGGACGAAGATTAAAAAGCCTTGGACGACTTAGTCAGAGTTCTCTCCCGTCGCCGCACTCCAAACAGTGATCGGAAAACAAACGACACACTTACCTATCATCCTGCGGTTGCGTGTAGGGCTGCGTACGGTTGCGTGAGGCATCGTGGCATCATCATATGGTTGCGTGCAGGGATTAGAGTTAGGGGTAGGGTTAGGGTTAGGGGTAGGGTTAGGGTTAGATGTGAAAATTTTGACGTAGGATTTCGAAATACTGGCCGACAATATGATGTTTGTGGGAGTGGCGCCACTGACACTCTGCCAAATATGACGCCAATAGCGTGCGGCTGGTGCCCCAAATCGTTGGCGAATTGTGCGTGTGACCAGCATCCAGAGGCCCTCGATCGTTTGTGTGTGTGTATGGGACTGTGCGCGATTATAGGGAACTCCGGCGTCAAAATTGTCAAATCTAACGCTAAACCTAACCCTACCGCTAACCCTAATCCTAATCCTACTCCCTAACCCTAACCCCTACCCCCTAACCACGCAAATTTATCGATCATTACAGCATACAAATTGGCAAACACCAACAAACAAAACACACCCAAAAAAACACCCAGAATTGTCCTGCAGCGTCGAAAAAAAAACCAGATCTGGGGGAAACAACCAAGCATTGGCAGCCCTGATGTCGACGTGACTGTCTTCTTTGTTTCGTTGTGGCTTTTCCGATCACTGTTTGGAGTGCGGCGACGGGAGAGAACTCTGACTAAGTCGTCCAAGGCTGTTTATTCTTCGTCCGGATTTGGCAGTAGAGCCAACTTTTTGACTCCCAGGGGGTTAGGCATCAGCTCCCAAGGGGCGGTAATGCAATTTTTGGGTCTCCTTCACTATCTGTCTATCTATCTCTATCTTTTACCCCACTAGGATATCACACAAGCAATAAACACTCGATGACACAAATTGCCACCATGTGGATGAGGATCACCCATGGAGAGGTCCCAGAAACCGCGTTCAGCCATTAGACCATGTTAATGGCCGGGCTATATTGCGGCCCCTAGCAAGAGCCAGATCAGTGCTTCAAATAACAAAAAAATTGGGTCATCCTCCGAATAACGGTCTTAAATTATTGAGGCGAAAATATACCCTAACAGGGCCTCAGTCACGTGTCAATTGCGCACTTCTGGGGACAATAACACCACCGCCGAATGGCTAACTTCCGCCACCGCCGAGAGTATCCCCCACGCTGCTCATGCGGCGTGGATTGGGGCTAAACTAGATGGCTAGGACTCACGAGCATATAAAATGAAGGAAGCTGCAGGAAATGCGGTAGCTTCTGCTCGTGAGTCCCAGTCATCTACTTTAGCCCCAGTCCACAGCACGCGAGCGGCGTGGGGAATACTCTGGGCGGTGGCGGGAGCGTGCAATTTAAGACGACGGAAGTGCGCAATTGACATGTGACTGAGACCCTGTTAAGGTATATTTTCCGCCTCGATAATTTAGGACAGTTATTCGGAGGTGCAGACTGGTTCCCCATTACATAAGGAGTACGACAAGGATGTGTCCTATCACCCCTACTCTTCATCACATATATGAATAGAATTGCACAGGAGTCAAACCAAAACACAGATATTATAAATTAACTACTCTTTGCAGATGACCAATGTTTGTTACAAGAAGAAGAACAAAAACTACAACATGTTCATACATTGCTCACTAACTGTACAAAATTTGACATGAAAATAAACACCTCAAAAACTGAAGTAATTACCATAGGAAAGAAACACAGTAATGTAATCATAAAGATCAATGACATACAATTAGAACAAGTTCAAGAATTCAAGTACTTAGGATGCATATTTACAGAAGATGGAAGACTCGATAAAGAGATACAGGCTAGAGTTCAAAAAGCCAATGCAGTCAACTACCAACTGGCCCCACTTCTTCGTCATCCAAAGATCTCGTTACCAGCCAAACAACGGATGATCAACAGCATTTTCATCCCTACGTTATGTTATCAGTGCCAAACGTGGACAATGAACAAATCACATATGCAAAAAATAACTACGTGTGAAATGCGATGTCTCCGAAGAGTCACCAACAATACACGAAGAGACAGAGTCACAAACGTCAGCATTAGAGACAAATTTGGAACAAGAGCATGCATGGAACATATTGAAAGACAGAGAATGAAGTGGTTTGGCCATTTAGTAAGAATGCAACCGGATCAGATTGCCTATAAGGCCTTTTACAGTAGAACATCGGGAAGAAAGGCCAGAGGAAGACCCAGGAAAAAATGGATAGATGGAGTAGCTGAATACGGCCAGAAGATCCAGAAAACTGTCACTCAAATCACGCGAGAGGCACAAAACAAATATTTTAAACCACGACACTGGGCTGCAACCCGGTAAAAGTGAAGAAGACAATAGATAGATAGATAGATTCGGAGGATAGCCAAAAATTGCATCCCATAAAGGGATGGCTAGATAGGCTCTCCTTCGAACTTCGTCTTCATATTATGGTGGCCAAACAAATACCCTAACAGGGCCTCAGTCATGTGTAAAATGCAGAGTGCTTGCCGAGGAACAATTAACGACAAAACTATGATTGCCTCCGAATAACGGGCCAATATTATCGAGGGCAAACAAATGCTCTAACAGGGTCTCAGCGATATGTTAATTGTGGACCTGTTTCTGCGACTATGCCACACCGCTGACAGTATCCCTTGTGCCACTACGCACTGCGTGGATGGGGAGGCTAAATTAAATCACAGCTCTCACCAGGGTTTGAACCTGGGACCTCTAGCACTTGAGGCAGACACCATACCTCGAAACCACACAGCCCCCCTCCCCTTCCCCGAGAGAGTTTAATATAGAGGCTTTTAGTTTTAATTGTATGAGTGTGTAAAGCAGATGAATACCAGTATACCCTTTTTGACATTTAATAATTTACACATTCTTAAGTTCTTCTTTCTTTGTCAGTTAAAACGAGAAAAGGAATTCTTAAAAGCTGTATAAACTTGATAAAACTGAAGTGGATCATGGACAGTTGAGTTGGTAGGTTATTTGGAAGCTGCGGAGATGTGGTTTTCTAGATAAATGCTGAGATCAAGAAAATACCATGGACAAGTTAAAAAGTGTAATTGTTATGAAGATGTCTTGAAAGAAATGAGAACTGATGGCTCACATCAGAAAGAGACAGTCTACATTTTTTTTTTTGGGTCATCATGTGATGAGAAGGAGAAAACTGGAGTACACAGAGACAAAAGGAAATTTGGAGGGGAGGAGAAGCAGAGGGAAACCAAGAGAACAGATGTTGGAAACCATAGCATATAGGATCATCTGACTGCATCAGAGTTGAGTGAAAGTACAAGTGACAGAAGGTTGTGGATAGGATAGACATGTCTGACGTTGCCACACGGCACGGACTTTAAGAAGTTCTTCTGCCCCTTAAACCTAGGATGAACATTCTGTCATGCAAAGCTCAGCTGCTAAATCATTTATCTTCTTCTTCTTCGTGTTCACTGGCTGTAAACTCTGGCGGAAAGTACTTGTTGTTCATTCACCACTTTAACTTTAGTCTTGTTCCAGAACCTGAGTGTTGCATGCACATCAGTTTTACGGATCTGACTTATTCATATGCAGATTCTTGGTTCCTTGCCACTCATGCAGATGCACTCTGACTTTGGACGCTCCAAATTAGTAGACTCTTATGACATGCTTGTTGGGCAGGCAGTGGGTCTATTCTTGTTTTCCCCACAATGGGGTCCCAGAACCCACATGGGGAATCTTTGTGGATTTAAACTCAAGACCTCTGTGTTGTCGGGTAAGCTTCTAGCCACTCTGCTAAAATCTCAACTACCTCTGCTTGCAGAACATTCTGTGGTGCTCATTTTTAGGCCGGGTCAGTAGCGGAGTCATTTCAGTGACAGGCATGAGAGAAAGGTAAGGCCTTGCTGATGTATAAGGAGATACTCAGTACCTCACCGTGGGCTACATAACACAAAAGTTAGAGTAACAACTAGAATAGAATGAATTATTAATGCAGAAAAACTGGGCAAAATCTGTTTAAAATGTTTACCATGCATTGAATAATCATGTGAGTTCTGATGCCCTATTTTGGTAAAAAGGGGGGGGGGGGGTAATGGCGCCCCCTCCTCCACCCCAACAGTCGTGTTGTAAAAGAATACTAAGAGATGTTTTTTTTCGATGTTGGAGTACATCTTTCTGAGAGGTGAGGAACCAACAGTCTGCATATAATGACTAAGACAGATCTGTAAAGTGGATATTCACACAATACTCGAGCTCTAGAACAAGATTAAGATCCAGAGGTAGACAAGCAACCGGAACTTTCCACTGGAGAAAAATAATCAAATATATTTACTATAAGGAGTTGCAACATGCTGAAATTATTTAAGGATGCCTTCAGATGTAAGTAGCAACAGTTTATTATTGTGAAACTAGTTATAGTTAATCAGATGCAGTCCGGCTGTTATCTTTTTTTAACAGCCAATTTTTGTTATCATTTCAGTATTAAACCTGTCTATGGAGCTCAGCATCCACCTCCACAGTCTGTTACAGTGTAAGTTCATTTTCACATTTGACCTCTTGATCACATATCCAGACAACCACTGCCACACAGAGTATATGCATACTTGTAAATTCTATTCCAACTATACGGCATAGTTCCTAGCACTAGAGCAGGCTGCTGAAATGTTACACAACACCATTTCTGACTGCCACAAAGTGGTCATATTCACAGAGGCACTATCGGTGCTCCAAGCCCTTAAGAGTGGTAAACTCCCTCACCTGAGATCTGAACTTGGCAAGGTGGCACCAAAGTGTACTTCACTCCATTGATGGTATACCAGGAAATGAAACTGTGGATAAACTTGCTAAGAAAGGGGCAGAATGTGAACTCGAAGAGAATGCAGTAGCATACTGTGAGAAGAAAAGGGCCATCCAATTTATTAGAGGTGAATGTAATCTGGTTGAAGATGGCTACCACTTACTTGACCTGCATGGGCAGGTCATTACTCTAGGGACAGGACATAACAAACTTAAAAAACATATGCACAAGCTACGTCTAAGTAGTTCACCACTGTGCCCGTGTGCGGCTGTGTGTGCAAACTACAGAACATGTCCTGCAAGAGCGTCCCTTATACAGGCCGCTGCAGCCCACGGTCGGGTTCGTTCAAAACCGTCGGTTGCCGGGGTTCACCCAACCTCTAGGTAGTGGGTACCAGAGTTAACACTCTGGGGTAAATGGAGCAACGTCGCTGCAGCTACGGAGTTGCGTGCAGGCGGCGACACAGGCAGAAAGTTCCTTATTAGCTGTCTGTACTGGTGGCAGAGCACTTATGGTTTATAACCGTGTGCAATGACGCTGGTTCACATCTCCTGACTTTACCGTTACCTTTTCAGGCCATTAAAAAGAGAATACTGGCCCACTGAATCAACACTATACTTTCCCTGTGTGGGTTCCGGGGCCCTATTATAGGGAAAACAAGAATAGACCCACTGCCTACCCAAAAGCATGACATAATAGTCAACTTACTGGGAGCTTACTTTGGTGAAGTCGGAGTGCATCTGCCTGGCGGTAAAGAATTAACAGTCTGCACACAAAGAAGTCAGATGTGTGGAACAGCTGTGCATGCAATACTGAGGTTCTGAAAAAAGACTAAAATTTAGAAGTGGATGAAGAACTAGAATTTTCCGCCAGAGTTTACAGCCGGTGAACGCAAAGAAGACGATGAAGATTAACAGGAAGTTTGATAAATAAATGTATTAAGAATTGACATTACTGCACTTTGGACATTCCCACACGTTCTACGTCTCCTTGCTCAGTAGCCAACAAAGAATCAGCGTCTAATAGTACTAGCTGCAAGCTGATTGAAAGTCCGCCTGTTTCCCCTGTTTTCCCCTTTAATGTTGAAAATCTTCCTGAACCTCTACTCCCCCCTATTGAATTAGTCTCCCAGTGTATGGATTCATTGTCTGTTCTATTGCACTGTCCATTTGATTCTAGAGAGCCTTTACGTATCTGCTTTATCATAAAGTAGCTCACTGCCCAGGGGAGCAGCAGCAGCCAGTCTATCAGTTTGCTCATTGCCCTGAACACACAAATACCCTGGACAGACAGTCCATGACAAGCTCCTGATCTTAGTCTTATCAAGTGAAGCAAGTCACTCTACACATAGGATCCCCTCCCCCCCCCTGAAAAAAACTGTGCCATATCTCTGATTAGGAGCCGCCATGGCATAGTGGCTAAACACATGCCTGCGGATCCAAAGGCTGTGGGTTCAAATTTGCAAAGAGCCAGTATTTTATTTTTCAAACATGATCTTGGCTTCTAGCCTTAAATAGGTAAAAGTCCTGGAGGGTAATTAGACGTAATCCCTGTCCCCGTTTGCAAACACAATTTTTCGTTATTTTGAAGCCCCACCCCAGCTGTGGTCGGGGGCCCTAATATAACCCAAACTATGGGTTGAACAGGGTTTCTGGGACCTGTACCCCAGGTGATACTCAGCCAATGTTGTGGCACTTTTGTCACCGGGTGTTTATCGCTCGGTGTTATGTCCTGGTGTGGTAAAACATCAATCAAAATATCTGGCTTGAGCTAGAAGAAAGAACGGAGCACTCGTGTCCCATGATGTTGATCCGTTGTTCAAACTTCAATCAGTCTGGGAGGTAACAGCAGCTGACGGGATATTGACCACATCAACCATTAAAGGCCGACTGGTCTATAAAAATATGAGTCTAACCTCATATGCCCGATGTGCCACTGGAATGTAAAGAAACCTCTACTTCAAATCTCTTTGATATGCTAGAAAAGCATGGGAATAGAGTCTCCAGCTGTTATTGTACTGTTCCCTTAGACTTATTGTTTCATTGCACATGTAGCTGCATGTTTAAGAAACTAAAATAATGTATAACAAAATATATTTTATATTTCAAAGTTTATCAACCCAGAAAGAAGACAGAGGGAAGATCAACAAAAATGACTCATTTCACGATTTTGAAAGAAAAACTTCTGACGCCTGGGATGATGGTGATGATGATTTTATGCACATCGCCACCCTGAAACTATCTCTTAGTGATGTGCACTCGTCAGCAAAGATTGTGCTTGACAACCACAGTAAAATGGCAAGCTCAATACACAAGCAGCAGAAAGAACTTACAGATCTGAATTCTTCCTCCAGCAAAAGTAGGATTATGTTTATTGTCATTCTTTGTGATGTTGATTTATTTGAGGGGTTCAACGTCTATTTCTCCAGTTATGTTTTCGATATCATAGACTGTCTCATCAGTGTTTGTTCCACATGTGTGTTCTGGGGCCCCATTGTGAGGAAAACAAGTATAGGCTCACAACCTTCCCAACAAGTATGTCGTGAGAGTTGAGGGGGGTCCTTCAAATTTAGTGCATCTGCCTGAGAGCTAAAGAACCAACAATCTGCCTGCAAATGAGTCAGACCTGTGAAACGGATGTGCATGCAACACTCAGATTCTGGGACAGGACTAGAGTCCAGAAGTGAACAAACAACCAGAACTTTCCACCAGAGTTTACAGCAGGTAAATGTGAAGAAGAAGCTTGTTTGTGTAAGGTGTTTCTTTTGGGTGTTTCTGTTTTCTATCTGTTTGTTTTTCATTTCAATTTATGTTTCGTGATTCTCTGTCCTCTTCTCCTCCGGCTGTGCAAATACTTTGTCATCTACTTTGTCATCTACTACTTTGTCATCTACTTTGTCATCTACTTTGTCTTATAACCATTGATACCAGTGGTTGTCCAGACACTTCTCTTATTTCTGTCTTTCTTGAATTCATCCCATTTAATGTTTATCTGTTTCCTCAGGTGTTTGTTTTTGAATGCATTTAACTTTTGTTCCATGTCTTTGGTTGTTCTCCAACTTTCACTGGCATATCATAAAATTGAAATAACATTAGAATTGAAAATACTTCACCTGATTTTCAAATATATTTCAAATTCCAAATCACAGTCATTAAGGGAGAAAATTGGGGCTTTTGAGCTGAATTTTTTAGAAAAATTTATCAGATTACTGTAAACTGAAAGGAAGAATGATGCTGACATCCTAAAATAAATTAATATCAAGGAAGATTGTCTAGTAAACAGCATCTTGTCTCGGAAACTCAAATATTTAGGCCACATAAAGCACCTTGATTAATAGAAAAAAATAGCAGAAAGCGTGGTGCCAGGAAAGAGTGGCAGTGTCAACTAGCACACAGATTGGCACATGATATAAGGGACACCTTGGGTGGGAAAGTGCATGTGCTGTTTGATCTTTGATCTATAAAGTATCTCTAGCCTTATATGCCCAATACGCCTGAAGTCGTGGAAAGGGGTCCCTTATTTACTTACAGGCAATGAAGACTTTTATAACTGGATTTTCTATGAATAATAATCAGTATTCGAAACAGTGATTTTACATTACATTCCTTGTCGTGGACTTTATATTTTGGTTATATTCACTTTATGCAGTCTACAAGCTGCGCATTTGATCTACAGGCGGCACAGGCCCTTATAAGGTCTCAGACTGAACAAAGGACTTCACAGCCGAGGCCATTTCCAGGGATGACCATGCTCAGGAATCACTAACAGTATACGGACCACACTGGAAGTGCCCTGAGCAGGAAGTAATACATAGGACTTGGACAGAAGATAAAAACACACATAAAGCCATGATAACAGAGACCAAATTCTACAATGAAATATAAAAGGAATGAACCTCACATATCAATAAAAATTCACATAGTGATAAAACCAGAGCTCAGGGGGACAGACCGACAGGACTGTCATCCAAACCCGTCCATGCAGGAAGGGACATCACAGCAAATAGATAAGGACACTGAGGCATTGAAAATAGCGCAAAAACCTTAGTTTAGCCAATTAATTTGGCCCCATCACAATTATGACCAAAGCTTCTTTTTTGAAATCGGACATATAACCAGATCGTGCCCGGTACCATCAGTATTGCGCTGGCTGCTGAAGATGAGGATAGAGCAGGCATAGGAATGCCCTGCGTTCTGTGATGACAATTCTCAACTCCACTCAAAAGTAGCAGGTTAAACAAGGTTTATTTTTTCCATCAAATCGGATCAGATACTCACTTTATAACATCTTTGCTTGCAAAAGATTTGTCTTTTTAACTTTACATTGTTCTTTCACTGTATTATCAGGGACAAATTAATTGGTTTTTATTTATGAGCAAGATACTAAGTTCTTATTCTTGAGCATTCCGAGCCCTTGAGGTTCATAACTGCAGATATCACCCGCCTCCATTCATCTCTCTGGTTGGCCCTCTCTTTCCAGTTGGTGACACCAAGTGTTTGCAGGTCTGTCTGGATATTATCTCTCAATCGTCTTCTTGGTCTGCCTCGTGGTCTAGAACCAAATAAAATCTGGTTTAAAGATGCAAGGTGATGCTCTGTCCCCACTTCTTTTTAACTTGGCCCTGGAGAAAATTATCTGGAAATTGAAACAAGACTGTTCTATAGGAGACTAGAATACTTGGATATATATGCTGATGACATTGATATCGTTGAAGAAAATGAACTAGAGACTGTTGAGTCACTGACTGTCCAAAAAGAATCAGCTCAAAAAATAGGACTAGTTATCAATCAAGATAAGACAGAATACATGATAATAACTAAATAACTTGCAAGTCGTTTATATGAAAATCAAACGAACAGAAACAGATAAGTACTTGGGTGCAAACTTCAACTGCTCCTACATGCTGAGAGAAGAAATACAATCTAGAAGATATTAAGTTAAACAGAAAATCTTGTGTGTTTACCAGGCAATGCTCAACCATATCCATCAAATAACCACCACCACCATCATCATCTGAGTGGACCAGGCGTTGGGGTCAGGCTGAATAGTGGGAGCTACAACCCACCAAAAGTGACCTCCATTCGATATGTCACCAGTTCTACATCGGACAGAGAGGCAGCACGTGTAGATAAATTCAAGGCCTTATTTGCTGAGTCCTCTTTAGATCTAAGTAAGTCTGCTTTTATCATTTACATTTAAATACAGTTATTATGAACAGTTGTTAAGGATCTCCTTTATTACCCACATGTACAGTTATATTTACTTGTATCCTTTTGGAGATCAGCCAAGGAGGTTTTGAACACAGTGCATGAACTCCATCTTCTTCTTTCTTTTCGCTACTCCTGCAATGCCTTGCTGCATCATGACAGGAAGAGATCTCTGGAACGGGCCAGAGTATAAAGTATTTTTCGGAGTTCAGATGTTTCTGATGTCTAAATTTTGCGTGGTCGACCTCTTGATCTGTTGCCGCTGTGTCTTTAAAACATTGCTCTCTGTGGTGCCCTGTCTGATGCCAATCTTGTTGTTTAGCCGAACCATTTGAGTTGATCCTAAATTGATCTTTCCTCATTACAGCTAGCATAGTACATAAACATTTCATTTCTTTCGTGACTATTTTCCCTCTGTCTTCCAAAGACAGTGTCTATTTTTGACATTGATAGCATAGCATTGGTAAGAATATTGTGTTGAACAATGTTCTTTTAATGTTAAAATTCACATGCTTGCATTTTAAAATTGGTGCCATTTGACCTAAAACTTGATTAGCTTTATTGCATCTGTGTTGGATTTCTTTATTAATGCTTCCGTCTTCTGAAATAATGCTCGCCATATATTAAAATCCGTTACCTCCTTTAATTGGTGTACATAAATTTTGATTTTGGTTGTTCTTCTTTTTCTGGAGAATGTTATCACTTCTGTTTTGTCTATGTTATGGGGGAAAAAGCAGTTCATTTAGCAATTTCTGATGTTATCCCCTTCACTGGTGATAGCTGATTTGCAAATTTGGTCGACGTGTGTGATGAACAGTTGTGGTGATAGAATGCAACCCTGTCTAACTCAAGATCTAATGTAAAGCTTTTCTGACATTCCTGCATTTGTTTTAAATGGGCATTGACTGTTCATATATAAACTCGTGCACAATTTAATTAGGTATTCATTTACTCTGTAATCCTGTAGTACCTTCCATAATTTATTCATGTTAACTCAATGGAAAGCTGTTTTTTGGTCTACGTAAGTGACGTAATCATTCTTTATATAATTCTATCATCCTTTCCTCAAATTGTCTAAGTGTAAATATTGCACCAGAACAACTTCTGTTCTTCTGAAATCCCGCTTGTCCTTCACTAAGTTGTGTTTCGATGGTAGGTGTAGCCTTATTTTCAAGGATCTTACAAAAAAGTCTCCCTGTGTGGGGCTGAATAGTGAAACTCCTCTGTACGTATCATAGTCTATCTTGCTGCCTTTTGTTCTTTCAGATGGGTACTATTATTGCATTTCTCCAATCCTCTTGTGTCTCTTGTGTTGTCCGGACTAGGTTAAACAGTCTGTGCATCCATTGTACGCTGACTGTTTCTGTTTCTTTGAATAGTTCAGCAGGTATATCATCAGGGCCTGTTGCCTTGTTGGAAAGTGCCTCTTTTACAGCTTTTTTATTTTATTTCTGCGAGTGTTATGCTTGGTTCTAAATTTTTATTTATGTAGCTGTTGTTTTCTTGTGTTGTGAATTTTTCCTCTGATTGTAAGTTAGGTAGATCATTGAAACGGTGACACCATCTCTCTCTAGGACCTTTTTTGGTTCATTTAAGAAGACTCCTGTCTTGTCATTTATAATTCCTGTTGGTCATATTGTTCATTCCTACCACTCATAACTTTAATTCTTTAATTTGCTTATACAAGTTTTTGGTAGCACTTTTTTGATCAGCATTCAATATTTTGCTGTATTTCTGCCATGATGTTTCTTTGGCATTTCTGACATCTCTGGCTATCATTCTTGATGCTCTGTATTCTTTAAGATCATGTTGATTTTTGATTTTTCTCTTCTGTCTGGTTTCTACATTTCTCCTCCTTCACTGCTATTACTTCCTCGTTTCACCGTGGTCTTATTAATGATCTTGTGCTTCTTTTCTTTACCATTCAACATTTTCCTTTTGTTGCTTCTAAAATTGATCTTTTAAACATTTCCCATTCAATCTCTACTGATCTGGTTTCTTTAGTTAGCTTGGTATAATCTTCAGTAACTTTTTGATGTTGCTGAAGGTATGCTTCTAGTGTGTTTTGTTGAAGGTATGCTTCTTGTGTGTTTTGTTGAAGGTATGCTTCTTGTGTGCATTCTCTGAATTAATAATTTTGAATGTTTCTTTTGTGGTTTAATGTAATCCTTTAGTATTCCTCAATGTTGACAAAACAAAAGTCATAACAGTTTTAAAACAAGAAAAGGAAAGAAAGATATGTTAAACATCAGTAGTTTCCACTGCGGTGAGACTTGCAAAGAAGCAAACATGCACTTGCTTCCAGTCTAAAAGTGAGACGTAGCAGATCTACAGAATTAGTACAGACAGCTGGTACTCAGGCCTTGCACTCATGCTGAATCCACATTAGTTTTCTGCTTGCCTAACCAGATGAAAATTATGTTATCTCAGCTCAACCAAATTCATCACGTTGTATATATGTAATCATGTTAGTAGTATTGCATTTTTCACTATCTATTATTTTGGATACCAAGCATCAGCCCACCAACCAAGATTACACGGTCTCACACGGATATGCTGTCCGGAATATACTGGGGTGTGAGGGAATGAAAGAGCGGATTTTGTGGCGACAAAAGCAAAAGCTACAGGATCACTTATACTGGACAAAGCAGGCATTTTGAAGACCAGTTATGAACAAATGCTCATAGAAGACACAAGGTTAGATGAAATAATGTGTGCATGAATGTATAAAAATAACAGACAGGAATTAGGGGTGCATCCTTCAAGGAGGCATGTATGAGAGAAAGATAACGACATGAGGATAATCAGTGTGCTATGGAAACAGCATCTACACCTTTAGTCATTTGCTGCAGGAGACGGAGCATCTTTGGATATGCCTTGTATGCTATGATCTTGATTCTTGAATAATTATTCACTAAAAGTGGTTGCTCTTTTAACAACAGTGAAAAGATGGAAAATACAAGGAGACTGACATGTTTACACCTACTTAGTTGCCAGTGCGTAGAGTGATGACTTGTTTACACCTACTTAGTTGCCAGTGCGTAGAGTGATGACATGTTTACACCTACTTAGTTGCCAGTGCGTAGAGTGATGACATATTTACACCTACTTAGTTGCCAGTGCGTAGAGTGATGACATGTTTGCACCTACATAGTTGCCAGTGCATAGAGTGAAGACCTGGTGAACTTCGTCATTTGAAATATGGTCTGCGTAGGATATACCCAGGGTCTTTAGATCTTTCTTTTTTATGTAATGACTAAAAGGGGATTTACCTTAGCAGGTATTATTTATTTTTAATGATTAGTTGGTATCTGTCACATCTTTTGCTTGTCTTATGTATTTTCACTTCTAGCTGCGCTTCGCAAGTTATGTTGGTCTGGAATTCCTAAAGCTGTACGCCCCATAGCATGGAAGATTTTATCTGTGAGTCCCATGTTTTACACTAAAATATCAAAATACAGCACAGACTTTCAACTGTCTTTACTGCTAATAGTTATAATTTTTTATCTTTTTTGCCTGGGCAAAATTTGGAGTTTGAAATCACCCAAAGTATTTCAGAATCCTCATCGGTGCAACAGAGTCTGTGCACTGCTCTGAGATTCATCAGACTCGTGCCTGAGTTAAAGGTAGAATAGTGCACTTATGGGTTGCACCAGTGGGCCATGATATTGATCTGTTGAATAAACAAACAAACAATGCCCATTGATGCTCCGTCTTCTACAGCAAATGTCTTGGCAGACTATTCAGCTAGGTTTACTTAGTGGCCAGTTTTTTTAAAACTGGGGATCGTCACGGGCCAGAGATCTGAGCCCAAGCATAGACAGATCAGTAATATAATACAACTGGCAATGATCCGCGGGCTACTTGCTAGGCCTCCGCTGGCCACACGTTGCCTGCGAGCCGCCAGTTGAATGGCCATGTCTTAAGGTGTGGATGCTAACTGTTCCTGTAGTGCAAATATAAGATGGTGGTATTCTGGGTACTGAAGGAGGAGAAGAGGACCAGACAGACACTGAAAGGGGAAAGATGGATGTCCAGGAGAAAATCCTGACGTAGATGCTGAGCAAAGACACCAAAGGTACTGGACTGCATTCCATCCATTGATATCATAAATGTTGCAAAACCTGTGAGAAAACACATCGCCAGAGGGAAGAGGCATCCAGGACAAACTTTGAGGAACTCTTGGAGGCTTGTCACTGATGTGACGGCACCACAACTGATAACTTGAGCATATAGAACTGATCGCGGAGAAGAAGAAGACGAAATATTGCACAAGTTAAAACACTGGAGGGATAAACAGTGAGGCTTATGTGATTTACAAATTGCACAAAAGGATCTGATAAAAGCAGCTGTCTCATTTCTACTCACCCCTGCTTCACCTAGACAGTAAATTCACACAACACTTGTGGTCTGAACAAGTGATAGCCAGTCCTGCTACGGGTGTCACTTCTGAATTTTCTGAGATGTGTGATGTAATAGAGAGCCATTTCAGTGCACGCTGAAAGCCCTAGTCTCCATTCTCATAATTGGTTTATTGGGCCCCAGTCTCCATTCTCATAATTGGTTTATTTGGCCCCAGTCTCCATTCTCATAATTGGTTTATTTGGCCCCAGTCTTCATTCTCATAATGGTTTATTTGGCCCGAGTCTCCATTCTCATAATTGGTTTATTTGGCCCCAGTCTTCATTCTCATAATGGTTTATTTGGCCCTAGTCTCCATTCTCATAATTGGTTTATTTGGCCCCAGTCTCCATTCTCATAATTGGTTTATTTGGCCCTAGTCTCCATTCTCATAAATGGTTTATTTGGCCCCAGTCTTCATTCTCATAATTGGTTTATTTGGCCCCAGTCTCCATTCTCATAAATGATTTATTTGATCTTCTTATTCACATATGCCAGCTGAAAGTTTTGGTTGTTTGTCCACTTCTAGACTTTGGTCTTGTTCAAGATCTTGAGTTTTGCATGGACATTAATTGTACAGGTGTAGTTTAATTGTATGCAGACTATTGGTTCCTAAGTCTCAGGCAGATGCACTCCAACTTCGAAGGAAACATTTCTAATTATCTGCTTTTACAACATGCATATTCGGTGACATTTGGTTTATCCCCCCCCCCCCCCCCCCCCCCCCCCCCCACCCCTACCCCTCCATGGGGCTCAGGAATCCACATGTGGAAGAGTGTATTGTTTGATAGTTTCTGTTCTGTTTGGTAAGGGCTTTGCAAATTGATTTTGCCATAGTCTTTTTGTATGCAAGTTAACATAATGTTTTTCTTTCTAAGCAATTAAAGAAAAAGTATTCAAAACCTTCTTTCTGTGTTATTTCAACAGGGATATCTGCCTACTGCAGTAGACAGAAGACAGGAAACGCTGGAGCGGAAGCGCAGGGAGTACTTTGGTTACATCGATCAGTATTATGAGACTAGATATCAGGACTTACACGAAGAGACCTTTCGGCAGGTAAATTAATTCATTCTGTCCTTTTTATTGCCAGCAGAACATTGTTTTCTTGTTAGTCTTAGTCCAAGTTTCAACTTCACTGCAACAGGGTCACCCCATGCTTGCTCCGTTCCTGCGCCAGTGAAAATCAGATCAAATGTCCCTCACTGTCCTATTTAAAAAGCAAGTAAAAAAAAAGTAAAGATCCCTTTTCACGCCTTAAGGTGCATCGGGGATATGGGAAGAGCACCCATATTTTACAGACCAATCGGCACTCGGTGGGTAATGTGGTCAGCATTACGCCGACCGTCTCTACTTCCCCAGGACAGCCATCCTGGTACCCATTTGAGGCTGGGTCGACCTGCGACGTCCCATACCATGATAAAAATCAAAGCAGCCCGCAGTGGGTTTCGGTCACGGTACGTTGGATTACGAGTCGGACTCGCAGTGCCTTAGCCACAGACGCCGCCCTATTTAAAAAACTGGTGGAAAAAAAAGAATTGGTCCCGGCACAATCCAAAAATATGTGCATTCAGTAAATGCATAGGGCAATTGCTAGAGGCGCCAAAGCCAACTGTCGCCACCAGAAATGCAATTTGTTGTCGATGGAAGTAGTCAGGCACGATAAGTTGGCTATACACGTGTATTATAACATTGACATAAGGTATTTCACCAGCCCCCGCGTAAACTGACTACCGGCTATATTGAATGCCACGACTCAACCGCTTGCACAAAGGAAAGGTGTTCTACATGAAAAAACACAGCTCACAAGGCAGCACCAAGCACTTAGCTCAGGTAGCAAAAGGGTAGACTACTTGATAGCCTAGCTGTGTTGAGTCAAACAGGCAAAGATATCATAGCCTAGCTGTGTTGAGTCAAACAGGCAAAGATATCATAGCCTAGCTGTATTGAGTCAAACAATCAAAGATATCATAACCTAGCTGTATTGAGTCAAACAATCAAAGATATCATAGCCTAGCTGTATTGAGTCAAACAATCAAAGATATCATAGCCTAGCTGTATTGAGTCAAACAGGCAAAGATATCATAGCCTAGCTGTATTGAGTCAAACAATCAAAGATATCATAGCCTAGCTGTGTTGAGTCAAACAGGCAAAGATATCATAGCCTAGCTGTGTTGAGTCAAACAATCAAAGATATCATAACCTAGCTGTATTGAGTCAAACAGGCAAAGATATCATAGCCTAGCTGTGTTGAGTCAAACAATCAAAGATATCATAACCTAGCTGTATTGAGTCAAACAATCAAAGATATCATAGCCTAGCTGTATTGAGTCAAACAATCAAAGATATCATAGCCTAGCTGTATTGAGTCAAACAGGCAAAGATATCAAAGCCTAGCTGTATTGAGTCAAACAATTAAAGACATAGCCTAGCTGTATTGAGTCAAACAATCAAAGATATCATAGCCTAGATGTATTGAGTCAAATAGGCAAAGATATCATAGCCTAGCTGTATTGAGTCAAACAATAAAAGATATCGTAGCCTAGTTGTATTGAGTCTAACAATCAAAGATATCATAGCCTAGCTGTATTGAGTCAAACAGGCAAAGTTATCAAAAGCAGATGAACAACCAGAACTTTTTTTTCTGATATCCATTTGAAACAGAGTTCAATTCCAAGGTCAGTTATTTAAAAAAATTGAATACCATTGCGGGTTCAAACCCAAAACCTTTGAGCCAGCAAGCATTAAACCCCCTCTCTCTCCCTTCTCTGTGTGTGAGAGAGAGGGGGAGAGAGAGAAAATCAGCAGAACCTAGCAGGAAACAATACTCAGTCATCAAAGAAAATAATTAGTATTTGGAACTGAAATGAAGAAAAACATCAACAATCTTACATGATCGAGACATCAAGGAGAACTGGCTCATAAACAGTATTCTATCCCAAAAGCAGAGGCATTTTAGCTATGTTAGCTTTTAACCGGAGGAGGGGTGGGTGTGGGTGTTTAGGATAAAAGAGGCAGAGGTAAACCTCAACGAAGGTGGACACAAGGCCTCAGATGCATCAGCTGTGAAAGCACATGGGTCTATAAAATTGGCTAGAGACAGAGAGACTTTCAGATGTGCCGTGACGAGAGCGCAGTTCTGTAAAGGAACCCGCAAATTGATAAGATCCATTGTGTCATTTCAGATTTTAAAAGATATCCCACGAATGACCTCGCTAGCTCACCTGTTTCAAGAGAAACAGGTTCAGGAGGTGAGTATTGTCTTTTATCAAATATATTGTTGCTATTCAGCTCAACCATTTCACTGTCAGCCATCTAATTTGTTCTATTCAGCTCAACCATTTCACTGTCAACCATCTAATTTTTTATCGGGGGGGGGGGGGGGGGGGGGGGGGGGGGGGGGGGGTGGGGGGGGGGGAAAACTGAAGCTTATTATTGTTAAAACTGAAGATGTCAGTCGAATGCATTCCAATATTTGGAACTAATATTTAATTGGTTTTGATGATGTTTATATTATGCAATCTGTAAGACTTACATCATTTTTTGAATAGGCTTATTATTATACTCTTTCAAACGTTCAAGTAATGTCAGTATAAATTAGAGCACATTCCAGCATTTGTAATTAAGACTTAGATATTGTAATTCTTTTTTTTCTATTTCTCTTTTTTGTTCTTTTGTTTCTTTTCTATATTTCTCAAATTTTTAATTGTGCATTCCTCTTTTTATTATTATTATTAACTATGAATTGAGGTAAAAATTAAACATTGTATGAAAGGAGCGGAGTGGAAGGGCAGAATGTTAGACGGGCCTGCGTGCCCAATTCTTAACCCCTTTGAAAATAAAATTTGTTCGTTCGTTCATTCAGTTCAGAAAATTAATCCTACTGTGTTTATAGAACAAATCAACTGAAAAAAACACAGAAAATATGTATAAGCTTTACATAATACATTATTATAAACAAAGAATGTTGTGGTGACAAGCTTTCATCAGTAGATGAGAAACAAAACACAACAACAAATAAAAATGACACTGAAGTAACTGCATTGCAGTGTTCAGACATGTTTCCTGTTTGACTTTCTAGGTCAAATTTGTAGGAGAAATGAAGTAGAATCACTACACCTTAACAAGCATGTTGAAAAAGATGGCAAATTAAGTGTCTTCTGAAATTGAATGTGTTGGGCCTAAAAGCAAATATATTGGCCTAGCTGTAAACAACAGTGTTTGAGGTCCATTGCAGCCAGTGGAGACGGTACCTGATTGATTTACAGCACAACCAGTCTTTGAGCAGAGATTCATTTCCAAAACCACTTGTCCTAAAGCTAGTAACTAATGCCCTTCTGCCGCTTAGAGTTTAGTGACATCATTTCACAATGCAGAACTCAACATTTACCGGGGTTCTGCACCAGCAGTGGGCTGTCTGTATCTTCTTTTTGTGTTTGCTTTCTGATTTACACTGATAAACACTTGTGATAAACTTGACTCTTTTAAAAAAAAAATGTAATTCCTTTTTAGTGCCATGCAACTCTGAGTACAGTGTTGACTCAGTAGGCCAGTATTCCCATTTTAATGGGCTGTACAAGGAGAATTCTTGCAGGACATGTTCTATAGTCTACCCACACAGCCCACACGGGCTTGGTGGTGAACTACGTAAACAAAGCCAGCTGTATGTGACCGGAGTTTATTTTTAGTATTGGCAACTATAAATCTCTGTTAACTTCAGTGAAAAGATGGAACATGCAGTAGTGTAATAAGATTTAACAGCCTCTCAAAAATAATACTTCAGGACTCACATAAGGGGAAGAGGAGAAGAGAAATACCTGGATACAGAACTTGACTGACTGGACAAGCCTTGGGCATGCAACCACAAAGTCCTTCCAATGTGGGTTCTAGTGCCCTATTATAAGGAAAACAAGAACTGACCCACTGCCCCTCAAACAAGTTTATCGTAAGCGTCAGTTGACTGGGGCTTCCTTTAAATTCGGAGTGCATCGACCTGAGAGGCAAGAAACCAACAATCTGCAAAAACTAATCTAGATCTGTAAAATGGATGTGCACAGAACACCCAGGTTTTAAAACAAGACTAAGTCCAGAGGTTGGTGAACAACCAGAACTTTTAGCCGGAGTTAACAGCCAGTGAATGCAAAGAAGAAGAACCATGAGGTCCATTGCATTTGACTGTCAAAGGTGGAAGGAGCTGATCGGACAGTATTAGCTGATGGTGAATTAATATATAATGTAGTTTGGTTTGTTTTTTTACTTCTTACTGACATATTGTGCTTTATAATCTGATCTTTGATTATCTCTACTTGCCAGATATTTGAAAGAATCTTGTTTATTTGGGCCATTCGTCATCCCGCCAGTGGCTATGTGCAAGGCATCAATGATCTGGTGACGCCATTCTTTGTGGTCTTTCTGTCAGAATACATTGAGAATGGTGAGTCGCTGCTGCAAGAATTTGCATTATGGTACCTTTAAATAAAGATTCTCTGTGTTAAAAGAAGATTGATACTTGAAGAGGAGCGGCTGGCCGAATGGTTAGAATGCCAGGCTCTCATACAGGAGACCCTGGTTTGAATCCTTGGTAAGGTTGGGGATTTTTTTTTTGGTCGGGGGCAAACGAAAATTCTCACCTGCAGTCTGTGGCGACAGCACTAGCCATGCGGCCCTGAATCCTCGGACCTAAAGACTCACCTCCCCATCTACACAGCAAAAGTGGTGTGATAAAGGCAGTAATTGGCAGGTCAGTCAGTAGCCTGTCCTTTGCAGAACTTTGCTCACATAGCAAAATTCCAGAAAGCTCCTTGATCACAAGCAAGACATCCCATGTCCAATACATGCGTCTGGAGATCATCCGCAACTTCCTGCACCCATCTTCTTTTTAGCCTTCCTCTTCCTCTCTTCACAGGCTTATACCCTTCCATTATTGTTCTCTCTAAAACTTTCGTGACGTTTCAAGTGACTAGCATATTTCATTATTCAGTTTGGATGCATTTGATCTTTTCTTTACCCATGATATCCTTAGAACCCATTGTTGGCGGGTACTTAAATTAAAATGGGGAACTACTTTGCCATGTAAAAAGCTATGTTCTTGAGAATTTTAAAGGGGAAAGATTTCTGGAGAAGTTGATTGTGAAGTGAGGCTTTCTAGATTTGTTATGGAAGGAAGCTTTTTAGAGGAAATCAGAGGGAAGCTTTCTAGAGAATTTAGTCATGGAGGGAGACTTTCTAGAGAATTTAGTCATGGAGGGAGACTTTCTAGAGAATTTAGTCATGGAGGGAGACTTTCTAGAGAAGTTAATTATGAATAAAAGTAAAAGTAAAGATCCCTTATCACGCCTTTCGGCGCATCGGGCATATAGGCAGAGCGTCCCATATTTTTACAGACCATCAGCACTCTGATGGAGACTTTTTAATAAAGTTAATTATAAATGGAAACTTTTTAGAGAAGTTCATTATGAATGGAAACTTTCTAGAGAATTTAGTCATGGAGTGAGACTTTCTAGAGAAGTTAATTATGAATGGAAACTTTCTAGAGAAGTTAATTATGAATGGAAACTTTCTAGAGAAGTTAATTATGAATGGAAACTTTCTAGAGAAGTTAATTATGAATGGAAACTTTCTAAAGAAGTTAATTATAAACGGAAACTTTCTGGAGAAGTTAATTATGAATGGAGACTTTCTAGAGAAGTTAATTATGAATTGAGACTTTCTAGAGAAGTTAATTATGAATTGAGACTTTCTGGAGAGGTTAATCATTAATGGAAGTTTTCTAGAGAAGTTGATTATAATTGGAGACTTCCTAGTGGTTAATCATGGAGGGAGACTTTCTAGACAAGTTAATTATGGAGGGAGACTTTCTAGACAAGTTAATTATGGAGGGAGACTTTCTAGACAAGTTAATTATGGAGGGAGACTTTCTAGACAAGTTAATCATGGAGGGAGACTTTCTAGACAAGTTAATCATGGAGGGAGACTTTCTAGACAAGTTAATTATGGAGGGAGACTTTCTAGACAAGTTAATCATGGAGGGAGACTTTCTAGACAAGTTAATCATCGAGGGAGACTTTCTAGACAAGTTAATTATGGAGGGAGACTTTCTAGACAAGTTATTCATGGAGGGAGACTTTCTAGACAAGTTAATCATGGAGGGAGACTTTCTAGACAAGTTAATTATGGAGGGAGACTTTCTAGACAAGTTAATCATGGAGGGAGACTTTCTAGACAAGTTAATCATGGAGGGAGACTTTCTAGACAAGTTAATTATGGAGGGAGACTTTCTAGACAAGTTAATCATGGAGGGAGACTTTCTAGACAAGTTAATCATGGAGGGAGACTTTCTAGACAAGTTAATTATGGAGGGAGACTTTCTAGACAAGTTAATCATGGAGGGAGACTTTCTAGACAAGTTAATCATGGAGGGAGACTTTCTAGACAAGTTAATTATGGAGTTAGACTTTCTAGACAAGTTAATTATGGAGGGAGACTTTCTAGACAAGTTAATTATGACTGGAGGCTTTCTAGACAAGTTAATTATGACTGGAGGCTTTCTAGACAAGTTAATTATGACTGGAGGCTTTCTAGACAAGTTAATTATGACTGGAGGCTTTCTAGACAAGTTAATTATGACTGGAGGCTTTCTAGACAAGTTAATTATGACTGGAGGCTTTCTAGACAAGTTAATCATGAAGGGAAGCTTTAAAGACAAAGTTATCAAGGAAGGTTTTTTTAACAAGTTAGTCCTCAAGGGAGGCTTTCTAGACAAGCTAGTCATCAAGGGAGGCTTTCTAGACAAGCTAGTCATCAAGGGAGGCTTTCGAGACAAGCTAGTCATCAAGGGAGGCTTTCTAGACAAGCTAGTCATCAAGGGAGGCTTTCTAGACAAGCTAGTCACCAAGGGAGGTTTCTAGGGAGGCTTTCTAGACAAGCTAGTCATCAAGGGAGGCTTTCTAGGCAAGCTAGTCATCAAGGGAGGCTTTCTAGACAAGCTAGTCATCAAGGGAGGTTTCTAGGGAGGCTTTCTAGACAAGCTAGTCTTCAAGGGAGGTTTTCTAGACAAGCTAGTCATCAAGGGAGGCTTTCTAGACAAGCTGGTCATCACGGGAGGCTTTCTAGACAAGCTAGTCATCAAGGGAAACTTTCTAGACAAGCTAGTCATCAAGGGAGGCTTTCTAGACAAGCTAGTCATCACGGGAGGCTTTCTAGACAAGCTAGTCATCACGGGAGGCTTTCTAGACAAGCTAGTCATCAAGGGAGGCTTTTTAGACAAGCTAGTCATCAAGGGAGGCTTTCTAGACAAGCTAGTCATTACGGGAGGCTTTCTAGACAAGCTAGTCATCAAGGAAGGTTTCTGTGGAGGCTCTCTAGACAAGCTAGTCATCACGGGAGGCTTTCTAGACAAGCTAGTCATCACGGGAGGCTTTCTAGACAAGCTAGTCATCACGGGAGGTTTTCTAGACAAGCTAGTCATCAAGGGAGGTTTTCTAGACAAGCTAGTCATCAAGGGAGGCTTTCTAGACAAGCTAGTCATCACGGGGGGCTTTCTAGACAAGCTAGTCGTCAAGGGAGGTTTTCTAGACAAGCTAGTCATCAAGGGAGGTTTTCTGGACAAGCTAGTCATCAAGGGAGGTTTTCTAGACAAGCTAGTCATCAAGGGAGGCTTTCTAGACAAGCTAGTCATCAAGGGAGGTTTCTAGGGAAGCTTTCTAGACAATTTGGTCATCAAGGGAGGTTTTCTTGACAAGTTAGTCATCAAGGGAGGCATTCTAAACAAATTAGTCATGAAGGGAGGCTGTCTTGACTAGTTAGTCATCAAGGGAGGCTTTCTAGTAAAGTTAATCATGAATGAGGCTATCTAGACCATTTAGTCATCAAGGCAGGCTACTATTCTTTATTTTCCTTATAGTCTCAGGTAAAACTGCAGTGTTGCTGTTGTGTAATAAGTATTGGGGGGATGACACTTTTATAAACCAAACAGCATTTGATGGGTGATGTGGCCAACATCACACAGGCCACCTTTACTTCCCAGGACTTTGTCTTGTACTCATTTTTGGCTGGGTCGACATATGAGCCAAGGTCATGTTTGAAGAACAAATCTTTCAGCCGGCAGCAAGTGTTTTAACTGCTGCACTGCAGAAGCTCCCCTTTTCAGCATTTTTAATTTGAACTAACTTTAATCTGGCAGACGTGGTGGTTGAGAACTGTGATTTGACAGAGCTGTCACAGGAAACTCGAGACCTGATTGAAGCTGACAGTTTTTGGTGCATGTCGAAGCTTCTTGATGGGATTCAAGACAACTACACATTCGCACAGCCAGGAATACAGATGAAAGTAAACGCACTCAGAGAACTGATCAAGAGACTAGATGGTGAGTTTGAAACTGCCAAACTTGATCTTGTATCTGCGCAGAGTGGAGGATATTGAACTAGTTTCTTCACTCTTTCTAATTTTGGCCATGTGTACTTTTTTTGTCATCATCATCATCATCATCATTATGTTTCCTGCCAGTTGGCGTAGGCGTTCATTTCTTTACTTATATTAGATAATAAAATTAAGAAAGTTACAGCAAAATTAACAGCTGAATCATGACAGAACAGAAAACATGCATACTGATTTGCAACAGCAGACTATCCTGCATCATTTTGAGAATAGTTATGTTATCCTTTTTTTATCTAAATTGTATACCAATTCTGGCTGTTACTATGACAGGTGCATTTTTTTCTTCTGTTTCTTTCACGTTTGTTGTTATAAGAGCTTTTGGCACATTGTGTTGTGGTTTACCACTGGACTGCAGAATCTGCACTTCTCACCCCAACATCCAATTTCAACAATACCCTACCTACTTAGTTCCCTTTAATGATATGCTTATTTGGGGGGAGGGAGGCAGTGGACCGATTCTTCCCCCTTTCCTAAAGGGGGCCCCACAATTCATGCATGGACTCATGGACTACTGATCATTCAAATACAGAAGGTTTTCCAGTATTTTGCTTTACAAAAGTGACCCCCTATAGGAATGTTTGTTCTTGTGGTTAGTTAGTTAGTTAGTTAGTTAGTTAGCTAGTTAGTTAGTTGGGTTATCATCCTTGTACTCCGGACATGTGCATAGGTGCTCAGATCCTCCCCTCTGTATGAACCCCAACGTCCGATGGCTAATAGTACCAGTTCTATGTTGATTAACAAGTCTTCTAGTGTGTCTGGTGTGCGTCTCGTTTTTTGCTATGCCGATCTTAATTCCCAAGTCTGCCAATCTGGCGAATGATGTGGATTCACTGCCCCCAAAGTTCTTTATCCTTCCCATTTTTCTGAGGGCATTAATAATGTCAGCATGATCCATAGGCTGACCATCGGAAGTAATAGCGGATCCAGCCAACCTATCAGCTCTTTCATTTGTTCTTGTGGTGTATTACCTAATCCTACTTGCCAGACTTCAATGGCTTTAGTATGTTTCCAGAACGGTTGGACTACTTATCTGTTGAAGCTGATTTATTGAGTAGAAATGTGTGCGTGCGTGCACGCGCTCCCTTTTGGACTTATTGTCAGTTGAAGTTGTTTCATTGAGGGGAAATGTGTGTCTGTTTTGGCTTTTCTGTGTCACAGTTAGCTAAGCTTTTGTCTCATGTGATATGTGCAAACCTCAGCACTGATGGATTGAGGGTGAGATATACTGTTAGATTACTTATGCATGGAAATAACTAGGATAAGACATCTTACTTACATCTTCTTAATTAAAACAAAAACTGTAATAAGGGCTAAATTCTATACAAGATGAAGACGTTTGCAGCACATGGTGGTCACCTTACCATCAATGAGGTTTCCTTCTTCTTCTCCTCCTTAACATTCATTGGCTGTAAATTCTGGCATAATGTTGTGGTTGTTTATCCATTCCTGGACTTTGTTCTTGACCCAGAACCTGAGTTTTGCATTGCACATCTGTTTTACATATCTGGCTTATTTCTATGCAGACTGTTGGTTCCTTGCCCCTTAGGCTGATGCACTCTGACTGAATAAAATACCCATAATTACTCACCTTCTGCTTCAGGCTTATTTAGAGGGGGGAGGGTCATTAGGTCTGTTTTTTGTTCTATAAAATGAATTCCTGAGCCCACACAGGGAGGGGTTTCTTCATATATCAGTGCATATCATGAGTATTTTAAATCATATTTTCAGCTCCCTTGTTCAACCACCTTGAGAACCAGGGTGTGGAGTTCTTACAGTTTTCCTTCCGATGGATGAACAACCTGCTGATGCGGGAGATTCCTCTGAGGTGCACCATCCGCCTGTGGGACACCTACCAGTCAGAGATCAATGGTTTTGCTGATTTTCATCTTTACGTCTGCACTGCCTTTCTGAGACGTTTTTCAGAAGATATCCTTCGAGAGCATGACTTTCAGGTAAGTAATCACCCACCTAATTACTTTGTCATATGTAGGACTTTCAGGTAAGTAATTGCCCAAAAACTTTGTCACATGCATGACTTTCAGGTAAATAATTACCTGATTACATTGTCACATACATGACTTTCAGGTGAAAAATCACCCAATTACATTGTGACATGTAGGACTTTCAGGTAAGTAATCGCCCACCCAGTTACACTGTCACATTGTTTTAAATTCTTCCTTTTCTTCTGCTTTTATTCAGCTTGGGAGTCGCCGTGGCACAGCGGCTAGACACGCGCCGCGGATCGGAAGGTCGTGGGTTCGCTCCCTGGTGGAGACGGACTTTACTTCAAAAATGACCTTGGCTCCCAGGTTGACCCAGCTTTGAGTGGGTACCGGGTGCAATCCCGGGAAGTAGAGGCGGCCGGCGTGATGCTGACCACATCACCCATCTTGTGCTGTTGGTCTATAAAAATATAGGTCTAGCCCTATATGCCCTATACGCCTAAAGGCGTTGAAAGGGTCCTTTACTTTTACTTACTTATTCAGCTTATCTAAAAAAAGTGTTAGGTGGGGGGAGAGATATAAGAATCTTCTATAAACTCTGTCTAATGCACTTGATAAGTTCATCTTCACTTCTGTAACTCATGCATCGTGAGTCTGTGAGAATTCCTGAAAAAAATCACCATTGTGCACAGGTCACTAATACATTTTGAAAACTTTTAAATATTTATAAAAAGTATGTTGAATGTTGAATTAAGAATTGTCATTACTGCACTTGTGACACTCTTATAAGGGCTCATTCCCCAACTTCAGCACCAAGCGAAGAGTTCCAATTCCAATGGTACCATTAACTATCTGATTGTATATCCATCTCATCCTTCCCCTGAGTGTTGAGCGTCGGCCAGATCCCCTGGTCACTCCTCGCAGCGCCATTCACCTTAGACAGTAATGATCTATCTGCGCCTCCTCACTGTTCACTCCCTCCCATAGGGCCTTCACAATATCTAACTTGTCATAAATTAATTCACCACCAAGTGGTGCAGAGCCAGCCAGTCTATCTGCCTGCTCATTTCCCAACACACCAGCATCACCCAGAGAAAATATCCAAAGAATGCCAACTACCCGAGACCTCTGAAGGGATGCTTGCCACTCTGAATGAAGCATGCCTGTTTTTTTTTTTTTTTACTTTCTCAACATGCTCTGTGAGTTAAAAAGTATATTAAGATATATAAAGGGGGTAATCAATAAATACGAACAGAGTGAAGCATTTAATGGAATACATTCCCCGGGGCTTAAAAATATATATATCGGATGACTCATGCTGACACCTATCACTGAGGCTTATGGGATAATTTGATGTCAGCATGGTTTTGAAGAAAGCTACTGAGGTCACAAGGAATATTGAAATTCTTTGTCTTTTTTTTTTGCATTCACCCTCAAAAGAACGGTTGGCACATTTTGGTGTGGTTCTAGAGATTGTCTGCGATATCTGCCCTTTGGGCCTAACACAACAGGTATATACTTGCTAAGGGGTGGTAAACTTTCTCCTCTGCCTCATCCCCAAAATGGGGACCACATGAGAAGAATAAAGAAATGAAACTAATAGTGTTAGTTAGTCGACAGAGTATCCTTATTGCACGTGCACCACTCAGTCCATGAGTGCTCAGTTCCGCCTCTTCAGGAGATTCTGCAGCGTGTAGCGGATGACGACACCAGTTCTGTATTGTTTTTTTTTAATACTTCTTTGGCTAAGTGTATAGTGCACTTGTCTGGCCACACCCCTTGTAACTTTTTGTTCTTGCAAGTCTGGGTGCAGATTCACAGTCATCACTTAGTTCTCGCAAACGTCTTACTTTTTGTATAGCATTCAGTAAGTGTATCAACCTGCTCCTTTCCTTGCATGCCTGCCTGCTTCGTCATGGAATTGAAACTGATTTTTTTTTTTTCAACCCTACCATCTCAAAAACCATCTCTACCTTCCCGAAACTTTACGATTGTAACAGAGTAATTTTTATGCATTTCAGGGAATTCTGATGTTTCTCCAAAACCTGCCCACTGACGCCTGGCAAGACAAAGAAGTCAGTGAACTCTTAGCAGAAGCCTACAGACTCAAGTACCTGTTTGCTGATGCCCCACGACATCTGTTACTTAAATCTTGACCAGAATTGTTGAATGTATTCTGTACCTGTGTCTTGAACTGTTGTTTTCTATATACATTTATGAAGGACCTTCAAATGAAAACCTTGAAAATGTGATTACAAAATTACAACAGTAACAACAATACAAGTCTTGTAATCTGTCGGTATTGTTGTTAAGGGGTGTCAAGAGCAAGTGACATCACGTTGCAGACAGACATGGTGATAGCATAATGTTAAGATTTTACCCCTTCACTGTCACATGCTTAACACTCTTGACATCTTTAACTTGACATGTTGCAACACAGGGGCATGGCTGTTAGGATTTCTGTCACACTTTTAATGTTTTCATTTAAAACCCTCTTGGGGGGGGGGGGGGGGGGGGAGAGAAACTCCCAAATGAGACATTGATGTCTAGTGGGAAATGGTGGTGGGCCATAATTCTGCATGTCCATTTCTGGATATAGTGTATCATGCAATTTGTTCCTGTAATTTGTGTTTAGGTTAATGGGTGCATGTTTTTGTCGTAGGTGGGTTGCAATATAATTTATAGTTTATGCCTGTGAGTTTCATAAAATGCGGGTCAGCTTATAATTTTATGTCAAATTGTATGTATGCATGTACGTGTAAATATCTGATTACAGCAGAAACATAGCTGTTTGTATGTGTATGTGAATGTACGCATGTATGGGGTTGCATGCATGTATATTTTTGTGGGCATGTGTATATCTTGTAAGTTAATGAAAAGTAAAGAATTATTGTTAAAAATAAATGAGAATATTTTAGTGACAATGTGTATATGTGAAAATATGTTACATTCTTATGTGGTATGCGTTAGAATGAGAGATCATCTCATGTCAAGGGCATATTTTTTTAACGTTGTATATATATTGGTGGTCTGTTCATAAATGTATGTTCTCACTGTTGAGCCGGATGAAGAAATAAATAGATATTATTTTTAATTGATATTGTTTAAAATTGTTGTTAGGATTTATAAGTTAAAGTGTTCTTCTTCGTCTTTTCCTCAGTGGAGAATAGGCCCTCCAGAGTTAGCTTGTCCTATCCTTTGCAGCTAACCTCATTCTCAAGAGCTAAATAAATCCTATCCTGATATAAGGAAGTGAATCATGGACAGTTGGGCGATTTATTAAAAATTTGTTTGAAGCAGTGAAGATGTGGTTTTATGTTAAATGATTAGAATACCCTGGAAATAAATAAAAAAAAAAAAAAAAAAGAAGAGAGAAATGAAGACATCATAAAAGAAAATGACTCACGAAGAGAACTGATTTTCTACATCGGAAGGAGACAATCTAGATTTAGTGGTCATGTGATGAGCAGCAGAAAACTGGAGTACATTGTGATGGTGCAAAAGTTGGAGGGGAGGAGAGGCAGTAGGAGGTCAAGAGAGAAGTTGCTAGGCAGTTTGACATTATAGAAGATCATTTGTGTCAGAACCGATTGAATGTTCACGAGACAGAAGGTTGTAGATAGACATGACTACCAACACCACATGGATTTTTAGAAAAAGAACCTCATTTCCTTTTCGGTTTTTGATTTCCTTTTTTTTTCTTTAGTTTCTTGGTCTTCTATGAGAAGAGCTTCCCCCAGTCTGGATTGGTTGGTTATGTATATACGTGTTTTTACCCATGACCAGCCTGTGGTTTACTTATTTTTTTGTTTAATACGACAAATAGAGAACCCGAACTTTACCTTCACAACACACACTGAAATATATATATTTTTTTTAACCTAACCAGTCATACCTGAAAGTAGAAGTCCAGACCTAAACAACCAGTTTTTACCAGTGATGCCTGAAAATATTTGCCGAACCGTGAACTGCCAATTTTACTTTCTTTAACGCAAGTGATAATAGACAGATTATTCTCATTACACGTCACGTCCAATCATTCAGTCCATAAGGCAAGTGCTGGTACGACCTCCTCAGTAAATCCCACAGCGAGTAGCGGCTGGCAACACCAGTCCTATGTTGGTTTTTAAAATTCTCTGGCTTTCTGCGTAGTGCTCTTGTCTGGCCACACCCCTTTTACTTACTATTCTTGTATTCTGGTCATGGCTGAAGATTCACAATCATCACTTGGTTCTTGCAAACTCTTCTTGTAAAGCATTTAGTATATCAGCGGGGTCAGTGGCTGGTCTGCCTTTCACAGTAGCCTTACCTGCAAGCCTATCAGTTTGCTCATTTCCTTGCACTCCTGCATACCCTGGCATGAAAATAAAACTGACCTGTCCCAGGGCCAATCGCCTCAGAGACACCAACCACTGTCTTCAGACCAGCCAATCTCCGTCTTTCTGAGCAAACTCATTAACTGAGAAAGTGTGTGTGGTTGAAGGTCTGTGTCTCCAGCCATGCTGTTGCTTTGGTCACTACCATGACCTATGTAGTCAGACTACTTGTAGTTCTTGTTCTTCTTGTGTTGGCTTTCTGATTTACACCGGTACAGGTTGCTACTTGTAGTCAAGGCAAAAGTACTAGAATCTTCCTTCACAACTCTCCCTCCAACCTGAGTCTAAATGCCTAAGAGCATCTCACATGGCAAAGCACAGACTAACCTGCGTAAATTACAGCATCCCGCTGTGAAGCATTCTCAAAAATCCAAGCATGCACTTCAACAGCAGCTGGATTTTCCTGTCTGAATTTTCTGTCTAGTCAAATGCAAATAGAAAAGGTTGTACAGCACTTTGTTGGTACTTGTACCCATTCCTCCCAGCTCCTATATCCTCAAGTGAACACACCTGATGAATGTCCTCAGTCTAACCCATCCACGGTTTTCCTCTTTTGAACCTGCAGCCTTTTTCTTGTTAATTTATCTATGCAGCTGGTGTCGTGTGTCTGCATTGACTCTGAGGTAGGCTCATGCTCGTCAAATCTACATTCTGTCTTCCACTGGTGGTAAATCAAGAAGGTAGCGCATCACCCTGCGTGCTGTATCTCTTGTGTACCCAGTGTCTCCAGTGCAATGATGTCAGTACTTAGCTCAACACGCAGCCAACCAGTGAGCAACCACAGTTCCCATCCCGCCATAGCACCACAGTTCCCATCCTGCCATAGCACCACAGTTCCCATCCTGTCATAGCACCAGTTCCCATCCTGTCATAGCACCACAGTTCCCATCCTGTCATAACACCACAGTTCCCATCCTGTCATAGCACCACAGTTCCCATCCTGCAATAGCACCACAGTTCCCATCCTGCCATAGCACCACAGTTCCCATTCTGCCATAGCACCACAGTTCCCATTCTGCCATAGCACCACAGTTCCCATCCTGTCATAGCACCACAGTTCCCATCCTGTCATAGCACCACAGTTCCCATCCTGTCATAGCACCACAGTTCCCATCCTGCCATAGCACCACAGTTCCCATCCTGCAATAGCACCACAGTTCCCATCCTGCCATAGCACCACAGTTCCCATTCTGCCATAGCACCACAGTTCCCATTCTGCCATAGCACCACAGTTCCCATTCTGCCATAGCACCACAGTTCCCATTCTGCCATAGCACCACAGTTCCCATTCTGCCATAGCACCACAGTTCCCATCCTGCCATAGCACCACAGTTTCCTTCCTGCCATAGCACCACAGTTCCCATTCTGCCATAGCACCACAGTTCCCATTCTGCCATAGCGCCACAGTTCCCATCCTGTCATAGCGCCACAGTTCCCATTCTGTCATAGCGCCACAGTTCCCATTCTGTCATAGCGCCACAGTTCCCATTCTGCCATAGCGCCACAGTTCCCATTCTGCCATAGCACCACAGTTCCCATTCTGCCATAGCACCACAGTTTCCATCCTGCCATTGCACCACAGTTCCCATCTTGCCATAGCACCACAGTTCCCATCCTGCCATAGCACCACAGTTCCCATTCTGCCATAGCACCACAGTTCCCATTCTGCCAAAGCACCACAGTTCCCATTCTGCCATAGCACCACAGTTCCCATTCTGCCATAGCACCACAGTTCCCATCCTGCCATAGCGCCACAGTTCCCATTCTGCCACAGCGCCACAGTTCCCATTCTGCCACAGCGCCAAAGTTCCCATTCTGCCATAGCACCAAAGTTCCCATTCTGCCATAGCACCACAGTTCCCATTCTGCCATTGCACCACAGTTCCCATCCTGCCATAGCACCACAGTTAACATCCTGCCATAGCACCACAGTTTCCATCTTGCCATAGCACCACAGTTCCCATCTTGCCATAGCACCACAGTTTCCATCTTGCCATAGCACCACAGTTCCCATCTTGCCATAGCACCACAGTTCCCATCTTGCCATAGCACCACAGTTTCCATCCTGCCATAGCACCACAGTTTCCATCCTGCCATAGCACCACAGTTCCCATCCTGCCATAGCACCACAGTTCCCATTCTGCCATAGCACCACAGTTCCCATCCTGCCATAGCACCACAATTCCCATTCTGCCATATCACCACATCTCAAGAGATACCAACCTCAGTCCATCTTTGTGAAATGTCTTGTGTCTGGTTTAATTATGGCATCCATAGCCATAGCTAACATGTTGTTTATTTTTGCTAGGTTGAAGAATAGAGGCCTCTGGCTGAGGATCAGTCATAGATGCTACAGTATGTAGAGCAGATATTCTGATCCCTCTACCAGAAATGTCATATTTTGCATAATATTCTATGACAGCATGATTCAAGCAAACAAAAACTGAAAATATGATTTCTGCCTTTAAACGAGTTCAGTTGATATGTCTTTATAGTTAGCTGATTGAATATATCTATGCTTATACAGTTGAGTACACTTAAGTCAAACTTCTGATAAGTCGAATTTCGGTTAAGTCGACATGACCAGCTTAGTCCCGGCAATTTTCTCTATTGTGTGTGCTGTCTGGATAAGTAGAAATCCTGATAAGTGGAAGCATTTTCTTAGGTCCCTGTGACTTCTACTTATCCAGACTTGACTGTATAAATTAACAGGACATCTCTCTTTATGCTCATACAAATTAACTAGAAATCTTCCTTTACGCTCATATAAATTAACTGGG